TTTACTCGTTTATCAAAACATCCATCGTGCATTTTACAAGTATCTGGAGGCTCGTAAATGATCTCAGCACTCCCCTCGTGGTTCGTATCAAAGCTCCGAGTTTTGAGTTGTTGATGCTAGAGCCATTATATCCGCCCGTAATCATTCCGTCTGTTCACTTCGAAATTTTCGCATGTCGCACTGCCGTGATATCGAAGAGGGCCGTGAGTGTCTTTCTGTATGGGCCATGCTTAGCACAAGCTTTTATGTGTCGCAAGGTTCATCCTTTTATGTGTCTCGTTGTTCATCCCAGCGTGCTTTTACTGCTGTCTTCACTATGACGGCAGCATACTCTATTATGTAGAATCCCAAGAATAACGCATACACGTAGCGTTTAATGCGCAAAGTGCTCCGGCGGGTCGAACTTCAAAGCGGTGCAGGGGTGTAGCCCCTGGTGAGTAATACATGGAAAATTCAGGACTGACCGAAAAAAGTGAATTTCATGAAATTCCTGAAGATTTTCGAAAATAACTTCTCTCTAAAACACGTGTGTTATCTGGGGAAATTTGACAACTTCCAAATCTCCATACGGTGTTCTCCCTCAGCATGCTTTGGAAAAAAAACACATTGGATCTAGAGTTCAGACTCTTGAAAACATTGACAAGAAAAAGGACTCTTGATTCAATCAGATTTAAGCTTAAATCAAAAGGAAATCCGCTCAAATTAAGAGGCTTGGTTCTTGATTTAGGCTTAAATATGATTGAATTCAGAGTACTTTTTCTTGTCGATGTTTTGAAGAGTTTGGACTCTAGATCTAATGTGGTTTTTTTTCCAGTGTAGCAGCATCCGTGAACGGGCCCGTCCTTACGAGAGACAGTGTAAGCAGTAAAGTTGATGATAAGGCGCTGATGCAACTATTCGTGTTCAGCGGATGTCCGTATTGCCTATCTGAAAAACTGAAGGCGCTCTGGTTTTGTCCCTCGCATCATCGCTTAGCTACGCGTAGCGGATTGCACGCGCCGGCACAAGCCGTCGACGAAATCGACACCGAATTCGGCGTTAATGTATTACTACATAAAATTAAAAGAAGTGAAAATTTACACCCCCCACCCCCTTGCCACCCGTTTCAGAGTCGGGAAAGTCCCCCGTCAGATCATCATCCTATATTTCCAAGTTTATAAAACGACCTTTTCAACTATAGCCTTTGCCCCGTCCGGCTGCCTTCCTTCCGGTGTGTTAACTGAAAACCGCGTATCATCCCGTAAGGTTGCACCGGAGGTTACGCGGTTTTTCGGGTGGGAAGCGGGCGGAACCCCTCTGCTGCCTCGGCCGTCCCCCTTCCAGGCCATCGGCATAAAAGTTTAATTATGCAGAGAAAATTGATACTTCGACGTCAGGAAGGGCTGAAAAATCGAGGCGCCAAAAAGCCAAGAATAAAGGGAAAAGGCCTCTATTTTGTTTTCGTCGGATTTTTCGTCGCTCGCTGCTCGTAAAAAAGCAAAGATGAGGGGAGAAAAATAACGCGCGATACGTTCGGTGGCGTGGTGTGCTTTGCGATACATCGATTGATCGGCCATTCAAACCTATGGAAAAGGATCGATAAACAGGGTACACTACAGTAATCGACCTTTTATCATATCTTCGAATGGGGAAATATCGAAAATCGATGATCCACGCCCGGCCACTGACGTCGGCTTGCATTTCTGGCGTTTATTGTCGAAGTTTAATGCCGAATTTCACTCCTGGAGCACGTAACAGATCAGCATTGGAATGGGTCGGCATCCACAGTAATGCTATTTTTCCCCCGTTTCTTCGTTGTTTAATACACGTTGACACACTTTTTCACCCCTCTGAAACTTTGCAGCTTCAGATTTTAATTATAAAAAGTGCAAGCCTCGACTACATCGATTTTAGAGAACCTTAGTCTAAAGTATCCATGCTGACCTTCATCGATGGAATATCGTTAGCTGTATCGATGAAGGTCCTCTATTGATTAAGTAACGATATGTCGCAGACAAGTAGTCAAATCAAGTAGAATGTCAAGGCAAATAATCAAATAGTTTCACTCATACTGAAATTCTGTTAATTTCCCTAATTTTAGACATATTATGCATTGCTCGTGTAAGAAAGAATTCTTTGCATAAATATGCATCATAAACAGATATTTTAAGCGATTTTTTGTCCCTAGGGTTTCCACTTCCTTCGAAATTTTTCGAAGGAGATTCGGAAACGTCTGATGGCTCATACGACTTTTCCCATTATTAGGTAGGATAGTTCTCATTATTTTTTCTTGTGAATACGACGATTTTTGCTAGATCAGCTGCATTTGTCAATAGTTACACGGAAAAAATTAAATTGCTGATTTAATTGCTAAAAAAAGTGACTGCAATGTTTCAACGTAGATTTTACAACCAAAACTTGCTACTTTAACCACCCTCGTCGTCAAATTAGCTCACAATAGTGGTTATATTAGCATTTTTTGTTGTCACTTGTTGAAATTGTTGATTGAAATTGAAATTGGTTTTGTTGAAACATTGCAGTCACTTTTTTTTAGCGATTGAATTGTTTAATCAGCATTTTAATTTTTTCCGTGTAGTTCATTTAAATTACTACCGACGATAGGTTTAATTTGGTCGATACTGCTGTTTTGCAACACGACAGTATCGAAAAATTATCGAATCGCTCAAGCCACGCTGCGCAGTCGAAAAAACAAAAAGAAAACAAAGAAGGAAAAAATCGATGAATCTAGACGCCTATTTCGTTGTCGCCTGCCCTCCATCCCCTTTTACTTGACTCCAAGGGTTAACTGTTCTTCGCGCCTAATTACACACGACACGCGACCGAGCGGGACTTGCCCATCCCGACCTCACCCCTCTCATTTAATGTTTTCCCACAAAGAGGGCCCGGAAAAGTCGGCCGGCATCCCCTGCTTCGAGCGACTTCAAACCACGCTACGAAAATCCACCCCTACGCCCGAGTTAAAACGTCACACCTTGAACGTAAATTCGAAGGTTTTTCTCGTTTTGGTCGATTTACTGTGTGGAAATCGACCAATAAACAGGGTACAAATTTTAGCATTCGTATACTGCCGTGCCAAGGAAGAACGCCGTACGAACATTATAGATTTGCCAAATTTTACCGGATGAAACATGTATTTTTGAGGAAATTGTTGAAAATCTACCCCTATGCCCGAGTTAAAACGTCACACCTTGAACGTAAATTCGAAGGCTTTTCTCGTTTTGGTCGATTTACTGTGTGGAAATCGACCAATAAACAGGGTACGAATTTCAGCATTCCTATACTGCCGTGCTAAGGAAGAACGCCGTATGAACATTCTAGAGTTGCCAAATTTTACCGGATGAAACGTGTATTTTTGAGGAAAGTTTTTTTTATTTTTCCTTTAAATTTTCAGATACTTCCGATTCGATTGCAAACGAAATTGTCTTAAAAATTTGAAGAACAATATTCCTAATTTTCCGAGTAAATTCGTTTTTATTGGAGGAGATATGGCAACGTCTGGAGGCTCTTTACGGCGTTCTTTCTTATTAGCACGGCAATATACATGTTTTCTAACCAAAATCTTGGTTTTTCGCGAGTCTCAAATTACCGACGTTTATGAATGTAGGTATCATGTTCCCATCGTTAAAGGCCGAAATTAAACGCGCAACTATTCGAACTCTGGAGTAGGTATGTGGTATCACTCGAAATTGAAGGAAAACCATAACCTTATGTCTGTCTCAAATTACTGACGTTTATGAATGTAGGTATTAATCTTTCATCGTTAAAGGCCGAAATCAAACGCGCAACTATTCGAACTCTGGAGTAGGTATGTGCACTGAGAAAAAATCATGGTTATAATTACCATTTTAGTAGTGTTCAATATGGACTCTTAATTAGTAGTTGCCCTAACGAATAATAGAGATATTTTTACCATTAAATGGCAATTTTACTACCGCTTACTTGTAAAATTACGATTGCTCTAGTGAAAATATCCCTATTATTGGTTATGACCACTACTAATTAAGAGTGCATATTGAACACCACTAATATGGTAATTATAACCATAGTTTCTTCTCAGTGTGGTATTACTCGAAATTGAAGGAAAACCATAACCTTTTGCTTGTCTCAAATGACTGACGTTTACGAGTATAATGCTCGCATTGTCATAAAAATCGCTCATTATTCTGCGATATTGAGTTGAAATCTGTGTGGTCTTTTATGTTTTTACATAACCGCTGCAGCAATTGCGTATATGCATGCAGTGAAATATATAGGTGAAAAACGCGTAATTTTTTTTATGATTTTACATAACCATAGGCGATATAGAGATAGGCTCCTTAATTGTAGTTTAAGCCCTAAAACCCACCGAAGAAGAAGGCCATGGGGTTATGTTTGATTTCCTTGGCTGGAACCATATCGTATACATACATACATACAAACTGACTCCAAATGTTAAATAATTCTCAGGGCATCACCAACAGGATTTGCTTTAAGGATTTCTGGATTTCCTCCCTTTCTTGGATTTCTAATTAAATGATTGGTAATTAACTATTTTTGGTATCTTGGGTTTAAGTTTTTAATAAGATTAATAATCTTAATTTCGATTTTGGCAGTTTATTTTTATTTACAGCTTTTTTTCTAAACTTGAACTGATATATCGACGGTGTAAGTCCGCAATCACAAGGAGAACAAATTGACATCATTCCTTGAAGTTTTTGCAGAATTTTCTTCGCACAGAGGAGGAAAATCACGACAGTTTTAAAGAATTGCCGTTGACGAGTTTTCTGTGTAAAAAGTGAAGTATGACAGGAAGTCTGCGACGTCACTAACCGAGTTATGTGATTGCCGACTTACACCGTCGATATGTCGTCTCTCGATGAAGAGGAAACTTATACTGGGAACCTTACGAATATGTATTATTTCGTAAGATCACCAATGTACTTTAGACGTATATAAATGTAGAATTAAGATCTAATTCGATCGAAGCATTAATCGTATTGTTCTTTTTTCTTTTGTTTCAGAATTCCTGTCTTGAACCGACAAGAAAAAGCCACTGCCAGTTTTCGTGCAAACCCATCCATGTTATTATACGCCCATCCCGCAGACTAGGCGCATAATGCTCTCAAATTAAGGCATATATTTACTTTTGTGCGTAGATTGTTTCCTGGAACATCGAACAAATCGGCGGTAAAATACGGGTATGAAGATTCTTATTCGTTTAAGAACTTTATCTCTCGGGTAGATTCGGAGGAAGGGAAGCCGACGAACTTGGGATCCGCAAATATTGCAACGTTTTTCACCGAAACAACCCTTAAATTTATTGCATCACAGGCCTAGGTCCATGAACGCATTAAATATGGATGCGGGTATGTGCTGCGAAAACAATTCCAGAAATTTTTACGTGCCGCAGAGGAGCTGTTACGTTTTGTGTCGCAAAAAAGGGTGAGATAAATCCGGGCCGTTCAACGTAAGACGACGATGTAGTTTTTGAGTTCAAGAGCGCCTAGAAAACTAGAGAATGAACTTGCACTCTCTTCGTTTCGAAACACATTTCCAGTGGTATTGACAAACTGCAGCCGCAAACCAAGCATGCGACCGTTCATTAATAGAATCCGGCAGTAAATTATGATCTACCGTGCAACCTGCCGCGGGGGGTGTTTTTGTAGCATTGACAGTGGCACACATTAAGGCTACTCCCGGTTGTTGCTAGGTAACCACGCAGAGTGGTGGGATGCTTTGGGGAATTTTTACCCGCCCCCCGCCCCTCCTCGGTGATGGTTGAGTGTAAAAAATTATGATCATGAACTGAGGACGCTGTCTGAATACTTATGAGTTCCAATTAAGATGGAGACCCCCCACCCCCCACCCCCGTATGATGTCGCTCCGACTGTGGTAGGTCCCAAGGATGAAGAACTTCCGCCGAAGCCACTACGAAACAATTTAATTTAGATTTTTTATTGTTTTCCCGACCACGACGTTGTACTTTATGGGCGGAATAAATTTTGAGTAGTGTGCTTAGTTTTCATTTCTGCGTTTTTGCGGAAACTTCCTCGGTTTTATGCGCGGGCATTCACGAGCGGTTTGTTGATATGACTCGGACTTGAAAGTGCACGCCCTTTCGAAACGCAGCCGTTATTTCGGCTCGATCTATATTATAGAGAATTATTGTTAAATTTTGGCACCGCAGCAGCGCATACCTGTATCTGTCGAGGTTTTTTTTCCAATTTGTAAAAAGCTCTGTCCTCTTGCAATATTTCCAAAAGCTGGATCTTTGAGCGGAAGCATACAAGTTCATACAAATATTTTCCTTGTAGATTCCTTCGAGATGAAAGTACAAATTTTTTCAATGTAAATATCTTTTTTCTCTCTTTTTTTCGCTACATTACCCTTTATGTTTTTTTGTTTGTTTTTTTTTTACTTAAAATTTCTGTAAAAATTGCATTTTCAAACGTTTCTCTCCATTCTATTTTTACCTCACAGATCTATACGTTGCTTTAGTTTTTTCTCGATTATTATCGATAGAAATTGGTCTATTTGGTCCGTTTCAAATTGTTATAGTTTAATTTTGTTTTGTTTGGTGGAAGCACCTTTTTTGTGATTCGCGTCAAAGCCGAGTTACTTATCGGGTATAACGGGTAAAATATTGTAGTCGCCATAAGTATCGCATAATAGATTATCGAACACTTAAATAATTATTGTAATCTATTATTGGACGGGAGAAAAGAAATAGTTCCCTCTGATTTTATCAAATCAAAATACCTCATGTAAAGTTCACCCCTTTTGTACAAAAATATTGTCTGCTCTCGTTTAATCACCGGACGCAAACTTGTTCGCGTGCTTGAAAATTATTTTGAAATTTCTGTTGCCTTATTTGGTCAGTAATTTAAGAATTTTGAGCCTCTAAAATTTGTGAATCGTTTTCATCATAAGCTTCAAAAGTCTGACTAACTAAGCAGGTCCATCATCCTACTCGATTGTTCCTATTTCTCGATAATTTTGCCGTCAGAGGAAGGTTCTTTCTAGGCTTGTTTTTTTTAAGAAATAAGAAAGATAGCTTAGCCAGCCCATTGTTGAAACAGCAAAAAGGAAAGTTAGATTTGGAGATTGAAGATTGTTCCTCCAACTTTGTACCTTGTTGTTTTTCAAACCTGCTGAAATCTTGTGATTAATCTTATTCCAATTCAGAAACAAGAGAGGAATCATAGAACCAGATCACGCAAGAGCAATAATTTTAATTTTGATGAAAACCTATTTGTAAGACCTTAGATTAGAGCTCCTCCTTTTTTTTAGAAGAAATAAATTGTACTGATAAATGTTTACTGGTAATAATGCAATAAATTCCTTTTTGCGGTCCAAAAACATAAACCAAAGTTCTAAAAGTCGGCTTCCCTAACTTTCGTAACGCAACCGAATTTCGTGAACCAAGTAAAAATATTGGCATCGAGAAACTTCATTCCGCCAAACGCTACTTTGCTTCGTAGTAGAAGCCTCCACTAACGCTAGTCTACTGCTTTCGTCGGCAGAGTCCTCAGGTTTCGGGCTCAAGTTCGAAGTCCGGTATATTTTCGTCAGCGAATTTTAGAAGATGGATTCGGAGTATTCGTTTGATCGACAGGTTCCGAAATACGGAATTCGTCTCAGGTAAACCTGAAGAGAAACCGGATCGCGCACCTGTAGCAATGTGGAAAACCCGGTAAACCTGAAGGAAAACCTGACCGTCCACCTGTAGCAATGTGTAAAACCCGGTAAACCTGATCGTCCACCTGTAGAAATGTGGAAAACCCGGTAAACCTGAAGAGAAACCTGATCGCGCACCTGTAGCAATGTGGAAAACCTGAGCCCGGGGGAAGCTATGCGAAGAGTGTCGAGCACCTGAAACGATGGATATAAATCCATTCAGCATCGAAAACCTGATCTCGAAGGAATCCAATTTCACGCCGCGGCTAGACGGGGAGCTCTACCTGCTGTTCGACAACCTGACCCACTTCCTGAACGGAACCTCGGACCTGTTCAGGAACAACACGACGTTCATCATCCTCGAGAGCGAGTCGTACCCGAGCGGCTACAATGTCTACCAGATCGTCCTGGCGACCATCATCGTCTCCCTGCTCATGATAATCGTCGTAGTCGGGAACATGCTCGTTATAATCGCGATCGCGACGGAGAAGGCGCTCAAGAACATCCAAAACTGGTTCATCGCGAGCCTCGCGGTGGCGGATTTCTTCCTGGGGCTAGTGATAATGCCGTTCTCGCTGGCGAACGAGTTGATGGGCTACTGGATATTCGGGAACTGGTGGTGCGATATCCACTCGGCGATGGACGTGCTCTTGAGCACGGCGTCCATCATGAATCTGTGCCTCATTTCGCTGGATAGGTATTGGTCCATCACGCAGGCGGTGGACTACCTGAAGAAACGGACGCCGGCCCGCGCCGCCGTCATGATCACGCTCGTCTGGATCCTCAGCGCCGTCATCTGCATCCCGCCGCTCCTCGGCTGGAAAGTCAAGCGACCGCAGGAACCAGAGGCCTTCCCTAAATGCGAGGTATGTTCTCAAACAAATTCAATTCTAATTAGAATAAGTTTTTTTTTTTTTTTTTTTTTTTTTTTTTTTTGCAATCTTCAAATACTGCCGTGCTAAGGAAGAGCGCCGTATGAATATTCGAGAGTTGCCAAATTTTCTTTGATAAAACATGTATTTTTGCCGACATTCATGCATTTTTTTTCCCTTAAAATTTCCAAATATTTTAGATTGAATTGCTTAAAAAATGTTTTGAAAATTTTGGAAAAAAATATTCACAATTTTTCTTGTTAATTCGGTTTTTATCGAAGGAAATTTGACAACGTCCGAAGGCTCATACGGTGTTCTTGCAAAAATGTATGTTTTACTGAGGGAAATTTGGCAACTCCTGAATGTGCATACTGCGTTCTTCTATAGCACGCTAGGATAGCATAGAGTGCGGGAGTGCTACCTAATTTGGGACCCCATTTTTTTTTAAAAATATTTCATGGCGTAGCCAGAGGTGCGGCTGAAAACTGCTATTGCTCGGAAAGCAAGTAGAGGTAGAGACGACGAAAAGAACGGAATGTGGAAAGGGGCAACATAGCGGTGTTGAACTAGGCTCATTAAAATGCAGAAAATCGGTTGAGAGCGCGCGGGGGTACTGGCACTGCCACAGTGGCGTGGCGTGCTTTGCGATATATCGATTGATCGTCCATTTAAACCTATGGAAAAGTATCGATAAACAGGGTGTTCGCAGCGAACACCTTAATAATCGATTATTTACCACAGCTTTAAATGGGGAAATATCGATATATATCGAAGCGTGCCACGCCAATGTGTACTGGCACTGCCACTGGTCTTAACACGGATTTCCACTCCTGCAAGACTGGAAACTAATCTAAATGAGAAACAAGCATTGCAACCCCCTCCCCTTGCGAGCGTCACAAAGGGTAGGGGACGATAAAGAGATGTGGAAAAATGTGGCGTGTCGGGTAGACTTCCGCGTCACTCAACGCGCTTGTTGAAGAAAATGAGAAAACGTAAGTGAAATCCGAATGAAAAGCAACGGAAAATCCAGCGAATTTGACACAATCGTGACTGTACACCAGGAATACTGCGAAGCTAAGGAAAAACGCTGTATGCACCCACGGGCGTTGCCAAATTTCCTTTGGTGAATCACGAATTTTCAGGAAAATTTGTGAATATTTTTCCTCCCATTTTTCAGATAATTTTGTTCGCAATTTCACCTAAAGTTCCTGAAAATGCAAAGGAAAAATATTCATAGCTTCCCTCAAAAATAAACATTTTATCAAAGGAAATTTGGCTACTCTCTTGGAGTTACGCACTCTTAAAACGAACAGCAAAATGTTTAAGGAACACAAGTCTGATAAATTAAACGGTGAAAAAGAACCTCGGTTACCGACATGTATTCCGGCTAAATCGAACGCACGAAAATCAATGTATCTCAATTATTGTGACGTTCAAGAATCTTCGATTTTTTTTACATTCTTCATGGAATATCAGTCAAGAGTTTTTCTGGCACTCGTGTATATTATTATACTGAAGAAACTGAAAAATTTCTGAAGAAAGACACAAACAATCCCAATAAAATCTCCATGTTAGTTTTCTTTTGAAAAACTAAAACATGAGCAAGGACTTACAACGTTGCAATCTAAGATATGCATTTTCGACCGCAGCCATCGCTTCAATCCGTCTTGCAAAACCGTTGACGATAAAGTACGCTTTTCCCAATTAAACTGACAACGGAGCTTTCGCGTTGCAGTATCGGAGGGTCATTGAATGTAGCATGGATCGCACCAAACGAGTGAATAGATGCAGGGGGGCGGCGGGGGGTGGATGGGTCGATATGAAAACATGCTCCGGAAAATCCAGCCGCCAATGAATACTAATGGAATTTTAAGTCGGAGCTAGAATTTTTCGTCTCGTGACGTCACTCACCGCCGACAAGGTGGGATTCCGGAGCCTCGCGCGTCGTCGGGGACTCAAAACGCCCCCCGCCGGGCCCGGGGGGGGGGGGGTGCGAAGTCGGGAGCCGAGCTCCCGGAGAATAATTCCGTATTTTCCATTAAAAATTATGGAATATTTGAGGTTTCTTCATTCCATCGTGTAGGTATATGCACCCCCACTTGTTTTTGCCACTGTCATTCCCTCCGCGTCGCTGTCGAATTTACCGACCGCGCGCGAGGAAAAATTCCCAAGCGTACTTCTGGGTGCGAGTGTTGCGGTTATAAAAGGCAGGGCGCCTTCAATTTTTGCGTATGCAACCCGGGCAACCGTCGAGTACGTATAGTTGTAGCCGATCGTCGCAAGCGCCGCAGGAGAACCTAATCTCAGGGTGCGAGTGTTGCGGTTATAAAAGGCAGTGCGCCTTCAATTTTTGCGTATGCAACCCGGGCAACCGTCGAGTACGTATAGTTGTAGCCGATCGTCGCAAGCGCCGCAGGAGAACCTAATCTCTGGGTGCGAGCGTCGCGGTTATGAAAGGCAGGGCGCCTTCAATTTTTGCGTATGCAACCCGGGCAACCGCCGAGTACGTATAGTTGTAGCTGATCGTCGCTGGCGTCGCAGGAGAACCTAATCTCTGGGTGCGAGCTTTGTGGTTATGAAAGGCAGGGCGCCTTCAATTTTTGCGTATGCAACCCGGGCAACCGTCGAGTACGTATAGTTGTAGCCGATCGTCGCAGGCGCCGCAGGAGAACCCAATCTCTGGGTGCGAGCGTTGCGGTTATGAAAGGCAGAGCGCCTTCAATTTTTGCGCATGCAACCCGGGCAACCGTCGGGTACGTATAGTTGTAGCCGATCGTCGCAGGCACCGCAGAAGAATTGCATCGTCGGCTACCATGCTACCAAATCATATTTCGACGAGAACACTACAAAAATGTGTACCTTGCTTGCGATGTGTACAAATTGCTGCGAATATTTTATTTTGTTTTTAAAAGAAGACCCAACCAACACGGAAAAAAATATATTGCTTTATAAACCAAATAGTGGTTCATATGGAACATTACTTATAGTCGTAAATGAACTAATGGTTCTCGATCTGTGAACCATACTAAGGCGTCTCGTACCATACTATAAATATTTGAACGTGGAAATGCTCAAAGGAGCTACGTTAAGATGAAAAATAGTTCCTTATATCATAAATATGCCCAATTATTATAGATTTACGAAGGAACAGTAAAAATATGTTTAAGAATCACAGCAAGAATATATAGGTACTAGGTAGCGGAACACAATTGTTACTACAAAGTACCACTAACCTTGAATGATAAGAAATTCAAGCTCAAATGCAGTGAATGAGAACAGATTTTGCCTTTACGAAATGAACGTGTTTATGCAACCGTTATTGGACGTAATAGTGCGTATGAAAGCAGTTATGTGCAAATGAATCAAGACAAAAGGCACCAGTAAGCATGCAATTTCTGTGCATATAATTTCTCTATTTACTTCATTTATACTTAAAGCATATTTCCTGTAAAGGCATTAATATTCTGAGATGCTGAATGTCTCTATAGCATATTTCCTGTAAAGGCATTAATATCCTGAGGTGCTGAATGTCACAAGTAAAATTAGCTGACCACTTTATACTTCCTCTTAGGACAAAAAGTCCAAATTGAATGCATTTTGCTGAAAGGAACCAAGGGCATTCCAATGTCGCTAGGATTGTGCAAATTGTTTCGCCTTGCAAATATAAACTGATCATCTAAGCAAGTTTCATCTTCACTCCCAATCATCTATGAAGTGAACTTCATAGATGTGCTCTTTGTAAATTTGATTTTTTGCATGGTTTCAGAAATTTTATTTCAAAGAACGTAGGTTACTCAATCTTAGCTACATTGGAATGCTGTTGGTTCCTTTTTGCTAAATACAATTGAAACATACCTCTCCAAGTATGCATTTAGTCCAAAAACCGCATTTATAACGGGATTTTCGTCTACCTCTCGCTTTGGCTGTCTGCTCGTTGCGCAGTAAATCCTTACGCCTTTTCCGCGATTCGCGAGCGACCACCGGTGACATCGTCTATTTTATTGATTAAAAAAGCTCCATTCTAGGAGTCAACGTCTCCAATATTTTATATTGTTTCAGCCTCGTTCTTTCCAGTCGGTGTGTGAGCGTCGTCTAATTTATTACACGATAAATCAATGCTGAAACTGCGAAAACAAGTGTCTCTCTCGCATTGTTTCATAATCTCCCCTCGCAATGCTTCTTGGAGACGAACAAATCAAATTTTCCCTCTTTTAATTTTCAAGTAATAAGGTTGGGAATGAAGAATTTAAATTCCGCATCTATCCGTTCGATTGGTAATTTTATTTCGATAAGAATACAAATTTGCGTTATCGGTGAATGAGGAATCTTTGCTCACCCTAGTCGTTCCTTTATAAGAAATAATATCAGATTCTCATCCATAACGAGGCCTAGACCGACGTCTGTTGCGTCGTATAAGTACGATTGATGATTAAGTGTTTTATGGAATATCTGTTTCTTTGGGTGATATTCTTCGGAAAGTTCAGAATTAATCGATTGACTAACGAATTAAAGTCCTGGAAAACTTCCAAAGCATTTCCATTATTTTTTTGACAATGAACATTCCACGTTGAGGTTTTTGGCAACGTTAGGATGCTCATCTAACCGTTTTCTTTTTTCACTGTTAGAAATCGATTGTAAACTCGGAGCATATTTTGACCACGATATCATCCGAGCATATGACTCTCGGAATGAAAAAGATTTGGGAGAATTTAATTCTCATTTGGAGGCATTATGCTCCCCCCCCCCCCCCCTCCCCCTCCACTCTTGTTTTCCGACCGTGTTGTTTCTTCATCTTTGAATCAGAGTCTCAACGCTCTTTTTACTTAAACTGAAAGAGAATACAGCTCTAGTGCATAATTGGCCACCAAACATGGTTTTAATTGAAGCACTACAAATAAACGATGAATTCGCCAGTGTAACAATAATAAGCATACAGTTACTTACGAGCAATCTCGATTTCTTTGTTATTGAAATTCATGGCAAACGCGTGTCGC